ATCTATCTATCTATCTATCATCTATATCTATCTGTTCAACAAATAAGACACTACCCTGGATATGCTCACCAAGTTGTGCCAAGAAATCTGGAGGGCAACCACTTGGCCAACTGACTGGAAGAGATTTATATTTGCTCCCATTCCAAAGAACAGTGACCTGACAGAGTGCAGAAATTATCGAACAATATCACTGATGTCATGCAAGCAAGATTCTGCTGAAGATTATCCAAAGCTAAAGAAACACAAGATCCTCTCACTTGATGCAGAAAAAAATGTTTGAAAAAATCCAACACTTATTCTCAATATAAATTCACAGGAAAATAAAAGCAAAAGGAATACTCTTCAAAGCAATTTAAGGGCATCATTCTTTTCCATGAAGAGAGATTAAAATTTTCCACTTGTGAACAGAAACCATATAAAGAAAGATGACCTTTGTCACCAGTATACTCAACATTCTATTAGAAGCCCTAGTCAGATTAGTAAACCAAGAGACACAACCTTGATCCTTTTCTGTTCTAAGAGAATAGTGTTTATGGAGAAAAAGAGGAGTTTGAATTCCTACTCTTATTTACAGTGAGATAAGCCCCTCTATACTTAGTAATTCATGGTGACTTACGGTGATCCAACACACAATAACATGAAATAGTGCCAGTCCTGCAACACTCCGACGATTTATTGTGCATCAGATCATTGTGGCCCGCACATAGGGCTTTCACAGGCTGATTTTCACAAGTATATCCACAGGCCGTTCTTAGTATGTTTTCATCAGGAAGCTCCACTGAAATCAGCATCACAGCAACATAAAAACCTCTGCTAACATGTGGGCGGTGGCTCTGTATGAGATGCACTGAGCTGAAAAAAAACCTTTGGGGAAACTGGTTCCTAAGATTTTATTAGACATGCTGATGGAGACCTGGCTATCGAAACTGCCTTTAGCATTGCTTTTGGTAAAACTAAATCTTGATCTACTCCTTGTCTAATTTTGTGTTGGATGTCTTGATTGGATTATATAAATTATCTAATCTGAGCTCTTATTAAAAATTCTGAAAGAAAGGAAAAACCACTCCAAAGTGGAAAGAAGTAATTTTGTACTAAGTTTAAACCAAACGTCTAAGCTCCATGCCGACACGCAGCCTTGTCCCACTTGACAGTGCTCTATTTACAGCCTGAATGGTGATGCCTTTGGTAGTTATTTTTCATGTAGGAAGTCACACTAACACCCCTGAACCACCTGCATATATCTTAAAGCTAACTTTTCCCCTACCAGAAAATGATTCTGCTTAAGACTTTTTAAAAAGAGAGATCCTGAATGTCAAGGTGTTATAAAAAGATAAAGCACGCGCCGCACATGTTCACAGCCTGCTGCCCAGCTGGGCATTCAGCACAGGCTTTCTTGAGCCAGTTTCATTATTGGAAAGCTTGATAAATGCTCCACCGCTGGCCGACTAGAATTTCTTTTAGGCTCACAGGCTCATACTGCGAACCCACTGAAGTACAGAATATCATTAGACTGCGTTGTTGTTA